CAGGTGCTGCATCGCGCTTCCGATGTAGCCATGGTTCGCTAGACTACTATTGTTCGCCAGTATGAACTCCCATGCGTCTAATTGCGTGGTAAACTTCTTTTGGCGTCCGCCAGAATATCCCGAAACTTGCTCATTAGCTGAAAATGAAGACGCATAAACGCCGGGAACTCTCCCTTGAGCTACTGCATAATAGAAGGGCCAACTAAGAGTAGGATCTGGTTTACAGGTGCGATACCAAGTGGTTCCACAATCCTTGCGGGGTCCAGATGGAGGTAAACGAGGCTCTTTCGTTTTTGGCAAGGTCTTTGCTCCTGGTTCTGGGCTGGATTCAATCTCAAATGGGTTATTTTGAGTTCCGTGTTGCTTTGCTTTGTGCGACGAGGCATTACCCGGTTTTTGCTTTAGTTGCGTGAAGTCATCTGATGCTTTCTTTTGTTTGGATCGCTTCCCATATTCAGGTTGGTTTTTCTCTTCGAACTTCCTCTTTCTCGAACCTTGCTGTAATGCAATTTCTGGGGGTCTACTTTTAGTATCTGCTTTCGCTGGGGGCAGCCAGTGATTGTCATGTGCGATGTGTTCATCCCCAGAAATATTGAACTGCAAAGGGGTGTTCTGCGTGTTGGATGAAGATTGCGTGTACCCTGGGTACTGTGCATATCGCATATGCCATGAATCCCGCAAATACTGCTGATATTGCGGGTCCTGTGAGTACTGCTGATATTGTGGGTCCTGAGCATAATATAGCTGGTATCTTGGATCTTGCGAATATTGTAGCGACCTGTAGGCCGAGTCGCCATCAAGAGGAGCAATTGTATCTCCGCTTCCGACATTACCTTCCATCTCATCTGACTCTGGATGTAGCACAGTTGGAAAGAAGAACACAGAAAAGGTTACAAATATAAGAGCTGAATGGTTTTTTAAGTAACTGCAAGCGCTGGAACTGTTCGAACGGAGAAAATGACGGTGGTTAAAGTAGTGATACCAAGCCAAGTTGTGGGTTGATGCCCCTCTTAGCGACAAGCGAAGGATTGATTTAGCCCAAGATAAGAAAGAATTGCTGCAAATGCCAAGAATATCTCTACTTGGATGTGGCTGCGTAGCAGCAGTGTGGTAGTGAAGAACGTGGTGGTTAAGGGGACGGGCGGATAGACCTATCGATTTGTTGCGCGTCCTCATCACGCTAGCAGATAAGTAAGACGGGCTAGCGCGAATCCCTGGCACAATGTGCACGATGTGCACATGAAACAAAAAACAAAAAACAGTAGGGAACTAGGTTTCGTTTTAATAGCTAATGCTCTTTGGTACGCAGATTCAGTCAAACCGTTCTTCTGCAATACGTCCGGGATCCATATGTAAATGCTTGCATTGGTTTCCCATGTCACAGTCTGATCACTCTTCAGTGCTGACCGCAGCTTCAAATGCAACCTGACTGCTGTCTTTTCCCTTACTTTGCTTTTTGCTTTTATTCCCGGTCGTTTCTCGGCCATGTCGTACCCATCCTGGCTTCTCTGTAATAGGTTGCAAAAAGCCATCGATATGCACACAGCTAGCCACCTTCTCCTCGTTTTCGACGTCATCAATATCGGGATCGTATCCATGGGCGCGATAACAGTGTTCGGCAACGCGATTCGGTGACTCAAAGTCATGCTCGTGAGCATAGCAATCTGTGTGTGGACAGCGTAAAGTGTTAAACCGGAAGAGCGGACGCTCGGAAGATGGCGGCTTTGTGCTTGATAAGAGGCTTGTAGCTGCTGGGGTAGATGGGGTATACCATATCGGCTTAGGAGCAGACCGCGACGCCAGAGACTCATCGTATGGTATAAATGACATACTTTCGCCGAAAAGAGCTGCACAGCGTTGGGCTGTGCGTGCCAAAGCCGCTTTGTCCCATCCTCTGATGGCTGCGAGTCCAAGCACCTCACTCCAGTCCATTAAGCCTCTCCCCATCTCTTCATCTTCGATTATGGAACCAGCATCACTCACACTACCCGAGAGTCTGCGGCGTTTTCGTTCTCCAAGGGCTTGACTGGACGCCTCCCAGTCAGAAGCACCGCCGGAGGTGGCATCACTATCCATTGCATTCGTATCTTTGTCTTGTGTACTCTGTTCTACAACGTGATTGGCTCGTACCAAGCTAGCACGCGAAGACGATCGTGTTCTGGGTCTTCTGTGGCTCGAAGTCGTCCTTGACCGAGCTCTGGATAGCGGCCTCGACTCACGCCCACTTGATTCTGCTCCAGATGTGAATTCGCTCATTGAAGAGCCGGCTGAATCTTCATCGCGAATCTGGTTGAGCTGCATTCGACAGATAGTTAGTGCCAGGTCGTCTAGCTTGTTCATAATAGACTGGATCGACGGCTGCAAGAGCTGTTGTGCTTTCGTATCATCGGCCAAAACAACTGGCTTTGTGAATGTGCCGAGCTGTTTCTTCCTGCCACGCTTCTTCCCATATTGCTGGGTCTGTTCCGTATTGAACTCATGTCCTGCAGTCTCTCCATACGCACTACTATAAGCGCTCGTTTCAGCATCAGCGCAGGATGCTGAGGATGGTCGTGAGAATCGAGCAGATTCTGATGGAGACCGGCTTCGTGAAGTCTCGGGGTCATTGTCTGAATCAGATCGGGATGAAGACGCCTCCCGCATATTCCACTGGTCTTTCGCTATCCGGAGGAAAACGGCCAAGAGCTCTTCCCTGAGTTCTTCTCCCGCATCCTGTTTGCCGGTACTTTCGATAGCCCACTCATCTGCTTGCCCCCGTACTAACCCTCTGTCTAACTTCTCGCTGTAATCGGGAAGCTCTGTCGGAGGCACTGGCCATGCTGTCCAGTCTGGAGGTGGTACTATGGCCTCCTGTACGAGGCCCGCTGCGTCCGTATACTTCAAGTCTTTCTCAGGCATCAGCCACTCGTCCCTGCTCTGCCACATTTCGAGCCGTGCCAAGTCTTGCGCAGGTCGTTGCAACCGCCGCTTGAGCATATGTGCGTTGTACAGATGCGCAGAGAGGTCGGAGTTTTGCATTTGTTCGAGCGACTCTGCAATTCGACGGTCAGCCTCTGTATGCTCCTCCCATGTTTGCGGCGTTCCATGGAACCGATTTGGCCGCGTGGGTTCCTCATCCTCCTCTTCCTCGTCAGACTGGTCAAAATCATCTTCGCTTGAATCTGCATCGGCGACTGTATCATCTTCTATGTTTATTTGTACTGGAGTATTGACCGGTTGTGCCTCTTGCGCAACGTGCACATCTGCAACCCCAACAACCGGCGGTGATGAGGGAGCGAACGAGGATTCTGACGTGTCAGACTCATAGGAAGAGAGCCGTGGCTTGGCACTATCACCACCGAACAAGGACATGTCAGTGTCAATATCTGTGTTCGGCGGTTCATTGTTTGTGGGGCGTCTAAGTCGCAGTCAGTCTTTTTTGGCAGGGTTCTCGAAATTCACACGAAGTCACGTGGGCGCCCCGCATGACCCCGACAATTTATACACGAACACATTATCCTGAGATGATCGCATCATATTTCTTTGCTCTCTTACAATCATGACTCAAATTGTACCACTTCTCACTGTTAGTAGTATGAGACTTTACTAATTGAATCATAGACCTGTAAACTTTCACTACTTATGCATCTTTATGTAGAAGGCCACAAATGGCCTCCACAACGTAAATGTTGCACTAGACACTCAGTCAAGCCACCCAAACTGCAGAACGCGCATTTGATATTCTGTTGTGCTGAATGGCTCGACCATGCCCAGTGAACCATGGTTTATTTGTGCATAACAGCCGAGGGCCATACATACTTATAGGCATGCTGATCTGCACATATCTTGTAACTTCAACACTACGAAAAATGCCGAAGCGTTCTATCTGCCACATCTCGGGCTATTCCTCAGGGCCAAAAGACTCCGAAAAGCGTGTTCGGATCGACTGTGACCGCCCTCTTTCAACACCCGTCCGCTTCCTTATACTTTCCGACACACATGGCGCCGACTTACCGTCGAATCTTCCTCCATGCGACGTGCTCCTCCATTGTGGTGATTTGACCGAAGACGGAACTCCAGAAAGCATCTTCGCCGCTCTTCGAAAGCTGGGCAAGGTGAAAGCCAAATTAAGACTCGTCATCGCTGGCAACCATGATATATCCTTAGACAAAAGGTACTGGGTATCACAAGGTGGAGAAGAATCTGATTCAGAAAGAGCACAGGCGCTATTTAATCCGGATTGTGGAGCTAGCCAACACGGTATCACCTTTCTCTCTGAGGGTACTCATACTTTCAATCTACCCTGCGGCGCCGTCTTCAAAATCTATGCCTCACCATACACCCCTGGATGGGGTACATCGGCATTTCAATACCCAACTGGCAGTGACCGTTTCAACCCCCCAAATATTACTCCGCTGTGGGCGAAAAACGTTGGCACTGAGACCTCGCTTATCCCAGAGAATGTCGATATCGTCATGACTCATGGGCCACCAAAGTATATTCTAGACGAGGCAGCCGGAGACAGTGCAGGATGTGAGCATCTAAGAAACGCCATAGTACGAGTGAAACCCAAATTACATTGTTTTGGGCACATCCATCTTCCGCTGGAAGGCTGGATCTATCAAGCGTACAGGTTGGCATACAAAGACCCGGCGGAACTGAACAGCGGCGACCCCGAGCCAATAGCCAACATCGTTAAAGATTGGGTGGGGTCAAATCAAGCTCGTAAGAAAGGATTCAAATGCTTATCTCCAGGCGCTGCAGAAGATTTCCGTGCGAGCAAGCAGCAGACATTATGCGTCAATGCTGCAATGGAGGGTGAGAAGGGAGAGCTCGAACACCCACCGTGGCTCGTTACCTTAGATTTGCCGGTAACAGGGTAGACAGAAAGTCTATACGAAAAACCCTTTCAACGAGAAATTCATAACACATCAGTTTGGCTTGGAACAGATGCTTACGATGCTACGACGTACGCACGATGTTCTTGCAGCCCGTGGAAGCCGGCCCACAAGGAATGCCACATGGTAGCTTACGTTTTGCGGAAGGACGGCGAGGACGACAGCTGGGAGTCTCTTGTGCCGTACGTTAAGAAGTGTAAGTCTTTTGTGAACAACACAAGAACGAGGAATGAGGAAACAAATGCTCCACTAGAGCTCATCTCAAACCGGCACCTCAATCGCCACCTCACTTCTCTACCGCATCCTCTCTACCTCCCACACAATAACCTCACTCTCAGTCGCATTACCGCTAGCAAGGCGATCACACCGCTCCAGTAATTTCCACTGCATCCAGCTCAACACGTCAGACATGCTGCGGGCGCCTCAATTTTGAAATGAGGACATAAGGCAGTTTAGGAGGGCCGATGGGGCCGCCCTGGTGGGTGAAGGGTGTGTTGAAGGGGATTAATAAGGGGAGGATATCTGAGCAACCGGTTCCAGCAACTAGCTGAAGGAAGGAAGATTACTAACACCAAGGTTTTACTTTTCTTGCGTTGCGAGGATGCTTGTAGAATTGGACTAGAAGTTTGGATAGCAGTAATAATCAGTAACTACCGTAGCATATCTGGGCAGGATGATAAGAGAAGCGAAGAAGTGAATAAGACAGCGTCAATATAGACGAAGATTCAGATATCGAGATTGCAATAGACAGATTCATCTCAAATAGCATCAAACCTCATTCTCTCTAAATACCCATTATTACCATTACCCAGCACCCTCTCTCATTCCACCCAATCACTCTAAACATGCCTCCTCCTCGCCCACTCACTCAAATACTCCCTACCCTCCACTCTCCACGTATCGCTCTCCACATAACTCCCATTCTGCCCCCTCCCCCTCGCCTGAATGACCAAATCAAGCCCATCCTCACTGTCACCATAGTGCGGCCAATTCGGCAACCCCTCGCCATTCGGATCGCCATTTGCAACAAACCTGATCCACTGCGCGCTCACCTCGTCGCTAAGCGCCTTGTACTCTGGCCAAGGACCATAGAAGCGTGGGTTGTTAAAAACGAACGCAACTTCAGTAAAGTGCGCAACGCCCATGAATGCTTCTGCGTTGCCACCCTCGTCGGAGGTGGGGCTGTTCTGCCACGGGAGAGTGTTGAAGCGATAAATGTATGTTGGAGCGTACTTGGCGTATTCACGGGCGTCTGCTAGGCGAGGCGCATGATAAAAGACATCGCCTAGTATCGCGGCTATGCGCTTGTACTGGAGGCCTTTCTCTGCGAACGTCTCGACGCCAGTGTTGAGGGGAATGCCTTTTGTTGGATCGTTAGGGTAGAGTTCTAGGAGGCGCTTGACGACTTTGTCCGGGAAGTCGAAGCCGGTGCTGTTAAGGAGGTAGGCGTAGATATCTTCGTCTGTGTTGATGACGCCATCGAAGGGTGCGTTGTCAGTTCCCTCGTCCGAGTTGGTACCGTACAAGTGAGGGATATGGGCAAAGCGGCCTGAGGCGAGTAGCTCAGTTGGGTAGGCAGGCATAACGTCGCCATCTACAACTGGGTACCAGCTTGGGCTATAATTTGGAGCTGCAAGCACAGGAAAGATTGCATCGTATGACAGTGTGCGTAGACAAGCCAGTGTGTCGGCTTCTTCCGAGCAGTTTGCCTTTTTGACAATGTCATTGTAAATGGGCTGATACCATTCTGTACCGTTGTACCAGGCTGTTGCTGCAGAGCCGGATTCCTGGATACTGCGGTGGAAGAGACCATCCGTTTGACCACCATATGACATAACCAACTGTCCAACTGCAAAGCTTCCAGCCGACTCGCCCCAGATAGTAACGGCATCTTTGTTGCCTCCAAAAGCCCCAATGTTCTCCGATATCCATGCAAGAGCTTTGCGCATGTCTCGCAATGCAAGGTTTGTTTGACCAGCGCCCTGGACCTCTTGTGAGTAAAGCAGGCCCCACGCACCCTTGCGGTAGTTGATGCTAGCTCCAATAATTGGCTGTCCGATCTCTACACTCCTTTGAACAATATACGATAGATTGTAGTTTGGCAAATCCGTGGAGCCGATTTGATAACTTCCACCGTGGATCCACACCGCAATTGGCAGCTTAGACTGCTCCTGTAGGGAGAGACCTGCTGGGCGCACAATGTTGATGCTCAGGCAATTTTCGCTCATGATAAGGCTACTGTTCATCGAATCCGGGCATGTATCGCCATAGGCCGTAGCGGGGTGTGTACCGTTCCATGTAGCGTTCAAAGACTGTGGCACGCGGAAACGATTCTGACCTCCAGTATCCTGCGCGTACGGAATGCCTAGAAAGGCATCTTGGTTGAAGGAGGGAAGGTGTAAGCCTTCATATGTACCGTTCAGTACTGTGACAGTAGGACCAATGGCCCATGCTGTCGTTGCCAAAAGAAAAGTTGCAAGCGCCCGCATTGTCCCAGCTCTTGTAATGAACACCACGACGTTGACTCACAAACACCAGTGATGTTTGTTGGAAACAGTACGGTGCGAAGTGAGTGCAAAGAGGAACCGTTCTCCAGCTTCTCCATAGCAGCAAGCCGAACGCTAGCGGGGATAAGGCGCCCTAAGTCGTGAGTAAGGACCCTTGTATTGTGGTATGACGTTTGTCCCATTTTGTGATAAGAGTCCATTTCGAGAGCGATCAGCGGAGCTGTACCTCGGTAGTCAGGGATGATACGGAAGGTGAACATTGACCTTGCAGGGCGGCACTCCATCCAAAAGTCCGCTCGACGGTGTCGGGTACGTGCGACAGTGACTTGATTGGTGCCAACATTCCAAGCGACAGACCCCACCCAATATGTGATGCTTCCTACAAATAAGTACTCCGGTTATTACACGGCCCTACCATGGGACGCCTGAAAGACACGTGCATGCCAACCTGAAAACTTCTCCGGTCTTGCTTTAGAAAATCTTCGATAGAAGGCTATGTCTCTTCTTTGCTGGTTGATCTACCAGTTGTGCTGTCGCGAGTTGTGGTAGAGGATGTAACATATCTCCTGGTAACTCAACCGGCATTGCCGAGACGCCATAATGCGGTTCCTTACTTGGGAGTGAGATGTTCTGAACTGTGCTTTGCTGGATATGCTGATTGTGCTGGTACAACGAAGCATTGTGGATTGAAGGGGATTGGTGAATAGCCATCGGCGATGAAGGAGTGCTAAAGGTGCCATTCAACTGTGATTGAAGATGAGTCTGCGGCTGAGGTCTTTGCATATGTCCATATGCATATTGCGGTATCTGTGGTTGAGGTAAAGGTGCAGTGTTGGCATGGTGCTGGTGCACGCGCTGAGCCCTCCAGAGGCTGAAAACCTCGTTCATGAGAATCGACCATTCCGGAGGTCCTCCCAGGAAGTTGTACTTGACAGATCCGTCCTGGAATGCGACGAAATAGTGGTCTTGGTGGTACGGTGAGATGGCGACGTACTAGTTTATGTTAGGGCTACCTCCATACAATCAGTAGAGCATGAATAAGTACTTACGACGATAGCTCCCGGTGCAGCATCTATTATGATCTTATTCAGTGTGCTGTAATGGCCATGGAAATCCCATGCTATGCGCCGATCAGGATACATGACGAACCATGCATTCTTCACTCCGAGACTGACACAGATGGGTATATCATGTGATTTTCGGAGTTTGTCCTCGAGATCTGAAGGTATGCCAGCCCATATTGACCCTCTTCCCTGGGCGCAAGCAAAGTAGCTGAAGTTCTGGCCAAAGGTGATGAAGCACGAGCGGGCGGCATTCGGGAACGATTTCGACCATCGCGCAAGGTCAGGATAGTTGACGTCAAAGTAGGTTTGAGAAAAAACTATGTTTGATTAGCGCAGTATCAAAGAGGTGTGTATTGTCTAAAGTAATACAGGCCGCTGTTTTCATGCATCCTACTACTGCGGGGCTGGGGCCTAATCACTCACATTGCTTGTCTTCTCCGTCCAATGTCTTGCACCCTACATACCACACTGGCTCTTGGGTGTTGAAGTGAGGTGCGAGGGCAAGGCAATAAGGGCTAGCAATCCTCCAAGCAGGGCTCATGGAGCTGTTGAATAACTGACGAAGAGTGGGCGGTATTTCATGACTGTGCGCTGTCAATCACCTAGCCTCATCCAGTTGCACTGCAAGAAGCTCACAATTTCCATGTTTGAGGACAGTCGAAAAAGATGCTATTTCGCGGACCAAAGACGAAGGAAATGTTTGACATTTTTTCAGGCTGTGTACAATATTGGATATGGTGGAAGAGAGCGAGTACAAAAGTTGCGGTTGCCAGCGCGTCGCGAGGCGCCCAAGAAAGTGGCGCCTTGGGGCCTTGCGGACGTGGAGAGTCGGTCACCAACGGTACGGCTGAGAGCTGTCACCGGTCACAAGGGCTATACGAGAAATCCGCTTGAATCGTTTTCTCTGATGAATTATTGAAAAGACTTGAGAATCGGGAGATTTCCAAGCAATAGCAGAGATTTTGAGAGAAACACGACTAGAGAATTGAGAAGGAGCAATTTCAAGTTGTGAGCGTTTTTGGTCACCAGAGAACATAGGAGTAACGGTCCAAAACGTCATTACTGACTCACGAGGTTTTGTACCGCTGGCTCCTTTTCTTTCGCAATTGGTATCTCCTCTTCATATATCTCCCTCACGCATGCACCTGGAAAGGCCCTACGCAGCGTTTCGCCTATGTAGCGAACGCCCCAGTCTTCAGCTTGCCTATGCCCGACACAAGCTACCGACATGCCCAGTGCTTTCGCAGCTTCCGACCCACTAACCCGGGGTTGCCCAGTCAGATACAGCAGATGCCTGCCGTCTTCATCCGGTGCTATCCATCCATGCTCTTGTGCCATCTGAAACACACGATGCACTTCACCCTCGTTGAAGGCATTCATGATGGCGACGAAGCGTATTTCGTCCGATAAGCCTACATGCGCCAGTTCGGAAACGCCAAACTGTTCTTGAATCTGAGTCAGGAGCTCCTGCAGAGGCACGGTGATCTGACCAATGACTCCGATCCTCCTCTCTGGATCTCCTTTATAGCCTTGGACGCAGAGGCAGTTCGCTGTGTCTATGCCCAACCTTTGTGCTAGCGCGGTGTTCCATCCTACCGTCAGTACCTCATCGAAGGAAGTGTGACTTGAGAGAACAAGAGTGCCTTTGCGCACGCTGCGTCGATCGAGGTTGAAGGGCCGGTGTAGAAAGCAGAGGGTGCGCGGTGGTCGTGGATAGATCTGCGCCGTAGAGCCCGTAGAGTTGTTGTCCAATGGGTAGCCGATCAAAGAGTAGACCCCTGGAGTTGGTGTGACGCTCAGTACAATC